CCTCACCATCACCAACACCACAACCACCACCAATACCACCACCAATACCACCACCACCAATACCGCCAACACCACCACCACCACCATCATACTCATCATCACCATCATCATCATCATCATCATCATCATCATCATCATCATCATCATCATAATCATCAGTATCATCACCATGATTATAATTAACATTAAGACCATCATCATGGTCATGATCATCATCAGCATCATCATCAGCAGCAGCATCGCTATTCCCGTCCTTATCCTCATCCTCATCATAATCCTCATCCTCATCCTCATCCTCATCATCAGCAACATCAACATCATCAACAACATCGTGGCCGCCGCCGTCTTCGTCGTCAGTCAGCATGATCAACAACACATTGAGCAGCATCAGCATCATAATCCTCATCGTCATCATCACCATCACCAGCATCCTCACCATCACCGTCAGCAGCATCATCAGCGGCATCGTCGATTATCATCATCATCATCATCATCATCATAATCATCATCAGCATCATCATCTTCTTCATCATCATCATCAGCATCATCACTATCAAAATCAGCTTCGGCATCATCAGCATCATCACAAGCATCAACGTCACCATCGTCACCACCAGCATCACCATCAACACCTCCACCGTCACCACCGTCATCATAATATCCACCATCAGCAGCAGCATCATTATCATCATGATCACCATCAGCATCGTTGTCATCATCATCAGCATCATCATCATGCTCATTATCATCAACACCATTACCATCAGTATCACAACCATGATGACGAATCCCCAGTATTGTAGTAATGATCACTATCACTATCACCATCATCAGCGGCATCACCGTGATAGTCATAGTAATATCCGCCTTCATGTTACAAACTCACCATCATCGTCTACTCATCACCAGCTTCATCATCATCATCAGCATCAGCAGCATCATCATTATCATCAGCATCGTCATCATGATCAGCATCAGCATCATCAGCATCACCACCATCAGCATTACCATCAACAGCATCATCATCAGCATCATCAGCATCATAAGCATCATCAGCATCATCATCATCATCGTCATCATCAGCATCATCATCGTTTCGCGTCCCTCAGTTTCATCCAAGCCCATCCTTCCCCCTCCATCCAATACCCTCCTCCTCATCCCTCCTCCCCCCCTACACCTACCCCTCCTTCCAAAATATTTGGCTCATTTTTGCGCCACAGTAGCGGCGCCTCGAGACTCTCGGCCCCCTTCGTGCTGATGCTCCTTGACCTCCATCCCTCACGCCCGCCTCCTCCATCCCTTCTGAAATCCACCTACTTCCTCGCCATCCTCCCTTATCCTCTCCTCGTCCCTCTCCTTCTCCTCCTCCTCCTCCTGTTCCTCCTCCTCCTTCTCCTTGTCGTCCTTCTCCTCTTTCTCCACACCCTCCGCCTCCTCTTCCTCATCCTCATCCTCATCCTCATCCTCATCCTCATCATCACCACCACCATCACAACAACCTCCATTATCGTCATCATCAGCATCAGCATCATCATCATCATCATCAGCAGCATCATCATCATAAGTATCACCAGCACCATCATCATCACCATCATCAGCATCATCATGTTCAGTATCATCAGCATCATCAGCATCATCATCATCATCACCATCATCACCGTCCCCCCTCCTCCTTCGATGACCCCCGGGCCTCATAAATAGCCCCCTGGTGCCCAAGCCCGTGCCCCGTCGTCCCAGGCCCCCTAAATGGACCCGCGAGGCCAAAGAGTAGGGCCGCTCGCTCAGACGGTCTGCCCTACCACCAATTGTTGAGCAGGCGCCTAGAACTTCCCCGGAGAACGGCCACTGAAGGGCACGGCGGATGCGCCACAGTGCCAGCTTGATATCACTGCACAAGGTCCTCGATAGCGTGTCTTCAAACCTTGCGCGGGCTTTTCGCGTTCCTGGTTTAGGTGTACCCCGTTGGGTCCCAGTCTGCCGAAGATGGGAATGATCGAGACAGATCTGGATCCGATGCCGTCCTCGACGTCGCCGTCCCCCTCATCATCTGTCATCTGCCTTCCCCGTAGTCTTGCTACTCCTGGTCCTCCTGCTCATCCTTCATGCTGCTGCGCCTGATCCTCCCCCCCTGAGGTTCGCACAAGCGCTGAAAGTGCCTGAAGCCTTCTGTCTTGATTCTCGAGTGCGCTTGAGGGGGAGGAGGGGGAGGAGGGGGAGGAGGGGGAGGAGGGGGGAGGGAGAGGAGGGGGAGGAGGAGGAGGAGGAGGAGGAGGAGGAGGAGGAGGACAGGAGGAGGAGGAGGAGGAGATGGAGGAGGAATGAATGAATGAATAACTCATGGAGTCCTGTGCCTACCTCTGTCTGACTGCCACAGCTCGCTGAAACAGAATTACAATCCAGAGAGAAGGACTCTGAGTCGGGTTGCTTCTGCACCCCCCAGACATCGTAGCGGATTCAACCAGCGCGCTCCGCTGGAAGCGGCACTGGCCCTACCTGCACCCCTATGGACGGGCACGCAGCCCTAGGGGGCAGGCTCCGAAGGCACGGGGGTCCCGTCCACACCGCCCGCCCTCCCACGCCCAGAGCTCCGAGGAGGAGGAGGAGGAGGAGGAGGAGGAAGAGGGGGAGGAGGAGCAGGAGGAAGGGGAGGAGCAGGAGGAGGAGGAGGAGAAGGAGGAGGAGGGCAAGCTAGGTGCGCTCGCTGGGGCGAGCTGGGTGCGCTCCGCACAGCACGCCTCCGAGGTGGTCGCACGTGCGCGCGCCGCCTCCCCCTCGAAGCGGCGCTCGGCCGCTCGACCTCTGAAGCTCCCGCCCCGGCCCGCGAGGGAGGGGCGGGGAAAGGGGAAGGGAGGGGGAAGGGGGAAGGGCAGAGGGAGGGGAGGGGAGGGAGGAGGAGGGGGGGGGGGAAGGGGGGGGGGAGAGGGGAAGGGAGGGGGAAGAGGGAGGGGAGGGGGAGAGGGGGAAACGGAGGGGGAAGAGGGGAGGGATGGGTCGTCGTGGTCGCTGTGCACGGCCCTCGCGCTGCATCGGGAACGCTGCAGCGGGTACGCAGGGCCCCTCCTGGCCACGGCGAACCTCGGCCACGCGCGGGCTCCGCGACCAGGACCTGGGGAGCGGCCCCGGCGCGCCCAGCTCGCACGAGGAGGCTTCCAGCTGCCCAACGCTTCTCGTGAATGTGGATCAGTGGAGTGACCTCGAGATGACTGCAAAAGGCGACATCTCTGATGAAGGGATCACGTTGCTTGCGTTCAGTGGATTCGCTGCGATATGGAAGGATGATGCATATATATACACATATATGTATATGTGTATATCTATATACATAGACATGCGTATATAGAATGGACGAAAAGTAAAGACGCAAAAAAACAATCAAGGAAAACACACACACACACACACAAACATACAGTGAGACAAACACAGAACAAAAGAGAGAGAGAGAGAGAGAACGAAGGAAGCACCCGCAGGCAGCGGACTGCCCAGGCCCAATTTGGCATTTTCACCCACCCATTACAAAGCTTCGTGGCCCCATAGGGAGCTCCACCGAAGCCTCCAGTGGGACCGCCCGCATGCGTCCCGGAAGCCCAACTTGGCAGTTTCACCCACCCAGCACAGCGCTTCGTGGCCCCATAGGGAACTCCACCGAAGCCCCCAGTGGAAACGCCAGAGCACATCCTGAGCCCAAAGCGACCGGCTGCAAGCCATTTGGCGAAACTCCGAGCGAGGCGCCGTTTCGGACCGTCCAGCATGCGCGCGGTGCCAGGCGCGGGGCCACTCCGCTCGGGCAGGCTGTCAACCACCGCCTCCGCAAGTTCACAGAAAACATATTGGACGTGCGAGATTCCAAACTTACACGGCAGGGTTTCGCACTGGCGCTCATGGCCCATTCTGCACCGCGCGAAGCGCAAGCCACTCCTCGCGCGCGCCCCGTCGCTCCACAGATACCCCAGCAGAGTTCCCTCATAATTTCACAGCAAAAAGGAACCTGAGGGACCTGCGGGACCAGCGGGACTGCGGACCAGTCACCCCGCGCCTGACTGACCCCCGATCAGCGGGACAGCCCCGGCGAGCTCCCAGTGCGCAGGGCCCCGGACCCCCGTCAGCAGCGCGCGGGCACGCCTCCGGCCGCGCGCCCGCGCGGGCACGGTGGCGCCGAGCAGGCTGCCGGGGCGCCCTCCACGGCGCCCGAGCGGCAGAGCGCCTCCAGCTCCGTCCTGCAGAGGAGGGCCCGCCGAGACAGCGGCGGCGCTCCCTGGCGCGCTGCGTGCCCCAACCGCTGCCTCCCGGGGGCGTCTCGGCGCCACGGTTGGCCCCGCCCCGAGCCACGGGCCGGGAGGGAGCTCGGCAGGGGCCCGGGGACCAAGTTTGAGGAGCGGATCTGGGCCAGGCGGGAGGAGCGCCGCTGCCTCGGCCTGCCCTCCTCCGGAGAGCGCCTCCAGGAGCACCTCGTCGTCCGCCGCGGCTGCGCCAGCAGCTCGAGAGTGCCGGCCGCCCCGACCTGAAGCCCCTGCGCCTGCGTCTTGTGCAGGCCCCCCTCCCTCGAGGCCTCCTGCCCTCCGCGGCCGGTCTCCCCCCGCGCCGCAACCCTGCAGCCGGACAATCCATCCGTCGAGCGCCCCCGACGACTCGAGCGCCCGTGCGGAGTGCCTCTGTCGTGCCGCGACGGAACAAACGCGGCTTGCACATGCCGAAGAGCATCTCCAGCAGGTCCTTCACGCGCATGGGGCCTGACACCACCGCGACGGGCTCGGGGCGGTCCAGCACGCCCGTCGCAAGCCCAGCGCCGAGGGGTGCCTCACCACGCCGAGGGGCGCCAGACAACGAGGGGCGTCGCACCACATAGGGGGGGGGGAAAGGGGGCGAAGGACGTGTGCAGTCCGGCCGCGCCTGGGAGCCTCCCAGCACGTCCCGAGATCTTGAGCCATAGTGGCCGCGGAGCCTCACGGGGCGCCCGCTGAGGACCTCTTGCTGCTTCCTGGGGGTCTCCTGGGGCCCTCCTGTTCGCAGCAGTCGGCACGGTGCAAACAGAGGCCGTGGCACGTCGAGGTCACTGTTGGCGCTCAGCGCCAACGCACGGGAAGATGCGCGCTGCGGCCTAACCCAGAGCCTCCGACGGAGGAGTTGCCAACAGCTCAGCAGGCACCGGGGAAAGCACTGGGCGGTAGGACCAGGAGGACCTGGAGGAAGGGGAGAGCTGTGCACGCCTGTCCATGAGGAACGCGGAGCGCTTCGCTGGACGCCCCGCTCCTCCAAAATATTCAGCTCTTCCTTTTCCTTCCTCTCACACTCCAGAACCTGAGCGAGTGCACATCTCTCGGCGGCGCAGCAAACGAGTCCCCTGCCAAGCGGGCAAACCAGCAAACGACCTCCATGCCACGCCGCCATGTGATAAAACGCCACCGCCGTGCATCTGGAACGCTGTGGCCTGTCCCAGGGCCTCGCCAGACAAGAGCGGACGGGCCGCCCGAGCCTTCAGACCGCTGGGCTCGTGATGGGTGCGTCGCCACGCTGCTGAAAGACTTTTTGTCGGAAAAGTGGCTGGGCGAAGCGATCCGCAGCCGAACGGCAGCCCAGGGGAGCCCCCGCAGAAGCAAAGCGAGACACGTCGTGCGTCCTGGTCCTCCGTCCTCCTACTGCTCCTCCTCCTCCTCCTCCTCCTCCTCCTCCTCCTCCTCATCATCATCATCATCATCATGATCATCATCATCATCATCATCATCATCATCATCATCATCATCATCGTCATCATCATCATCATCATCATCATCGTCATCATCATCATCATCATCATCATCGTCATCATCATCGTCATCATCATCATCATCATCATCATCATCATCATCATCATCATCATCATCATCATCATCATCATCATCATCATCATCATCATCATCATCATCATCATCATCATCATCATCATCATCCTCGATCCTCCATCCGCCCCCCTCCTCCTCCTCCTCCTCCTCCTCCTCCTCCTCCTCCTCCTCCTCCTCCTCCTCCTCCTCCTCCTCCTCCTCCTCCTCCCTCCTCCTTCCACGTCATCGTTGGTCTTCGGGCCACTGCTCGGGCCCCTGGCGGCCGCTCGGCTACTGCTCGGCAAACACGGGCCTCGAAAGGGCGGCGCCTTGGCGCGGTCACGCGGGGCAGGGCCTGCCGCAACCGGCCTTGCCCCGGGATCGATCTAAGCAATGATTTTCGTGTTCGTGCTGTTGTTGTCGCTCTCCCCCGTTTTGTCTTCAATCCGCCTTTGCTGCAAAACGAAGTCGAAACGACAACGGCACACGAGTCCGCAAAAACACCGCTTAGGTCGACCCCTGGCCTTGCCCTTGCTGTGCAAGGCCTCCTGGATCTGCCTGAACTTCTGCACGTCTGAATCCGAGCGCTGGAACGACGGGAACCTGGGGGCGGTCAACAACGAATGGAAAGCCATGAGCAAAGGATCACACACCTGGTGCAAGGTTCAGCCACACCAACCTAACCGAACACGCCAACCTAACACATGCACCCCAACCGAACCGAACACAGTGTTAGTGCATAGCAGACCCGGGTTACTTGTTTCGTACAAAATACGGCACCGTGCCCTGAGGCACGAGCTAGAATGTCCTCGGGTCCCTTTGAGCTCTCCGCGTTGAATTCGATGGATACTCCTCAAGGGGGCCACAGCGAGGAGTTCTGGGCGCTACTGGGCGCCTTTGGGCGCTCTCTGGGGGGCCACGCGTGACTTTTCGAGAGGCCGAGCGCGCGTTGTTCGGGACATGCATGTCCAACATGGTTTCAGATAGCCTCGGAGACCTCCTGGAGCCCTCTTGGGCGCCTCTTGGGCCTCCTTGGAGGTCCTGAAGGGCGGCCAACGAAGCCAAAATCGCCATACTCCACTCGTCTTCGTATGGCTTACCGCCTGTTCGGCATTCAGAGCATCCAAGACGACCCAAAAAGGCGCCCAAGATTGCGCCCCAAAATGACCCAAGACCCCGCAAGAGGGGCCCAAGAGGCCTCCAAGACGGCCCCAAGAGGGGCCCAAGATGGGGAACACGAACTGGCATTGTGAGCCCTCCGCCCCAAGCTGGCCCCAAGATCCCCCCAGAAGCCCCCGATGTGCTCCCAAGAGTGCCAAAGAGGCCCCCAAGAGGCCCAAATTCGGCTCCCAAAGGCCTCCAAGACGCCCCAGGACACCCCCAAGACCGCCTCCAAGAGGCATCCGAGAGGCCTTCCAGGAGAACATCACAAGCATTCAGGAGGCCTCTGACCTACAACCCAGGCGCAGTGGCGGGATGGGCCGAAGGCCACTAGATCCGCCGCCCCCTGCTTGCAGGGGTGCACGGCGTGCTGGACGAGTCAGGTTTTGGTTTTGGTTCTTTTTCTAAAAGAACTCCCCAGTTTGGCGGGATGCAAATGGGGGGATAAGTCCAGATGGGGAGAGAGGCGCAACCGAGGTACAAATTGTACCTACGCCCCACGGAGAAGGTACAATTTGTACCGACGCCACGAAGACAAGGTACAAATTGTACTGTTGACAACGTCCGCGACATGTGCGAGGATGTTAACGGGGGGGGAGAAGGTACAATTTGTCCTTGCAACCCGCAGAGAAGGTACAAACTGTACCCCAACAAAACGGTACCGGATACTCATCCCCCCATGTCCTGATCCCCCCATCGCCATCCAGCCGACCAGTGGGCTTCGGCCCGTCCCGCCGGCCACCCGCAAGTTTCCGAAAATCCGTCTGTCAATGCCCAAAAACGGCCGTTTCGCTCGGGACATCCTCAAAAAATCGCGAAGATGGCCCAAGATGGCCTCCAAGTCCGCCCGAGATGGTCCAAGACGGCCTCCAAAACGGCCCAAGAGAGTCCAAGACGGCCCAAGACGGCCCAAGAGGCCCCCCAGAGGCCTCCCAGACGGCCCAAGAGGCCTCCAAGAGGTCCTCCAGGAGAGTCCGAAGAGGCCAAAATCATTGATTTTCCATTGGTTTTTGAAGGATTTTGGCATTTGCGCCTTTTCGGCTCTCCGACGGCTCAAGACGGCCCAAGAAGCCCCCAAGATCGCCCAAGAGGCCCCCAAGAGAGCCCCATGATGGCCCAAGTGGCCTCCAAGATGGCCCCTAGAGGGCCCCAAGAGGGCCCAAGAGGCCTCCAACACGCCCAAGATGGCCTCCCAGACGCCCAAGATGGCCTCCAAGACGGCCCTGGAGCATTCCAAGCGGGCCCCAAGTCGGCCCATAGAGGCCCCCCAAACGGCTTCCGACGGCTTCAGACGTGCCAGGAACCCACCAAGATGGCCGAAGTTGGCTCGAAGCTGGCCCGAGACGGCCCAAAAAGCCCCAAAGATCGCCCAAAGCTTGCCCAAGAGGCCTCCAAGACGGCCAAGATGACCTTCAAGATGCCCACGTGTTCCCCGAAGGCTTTCCAAACCGATTCGGGGAACACGTGGTCCGATAGCTTGGCAGGTCTGGCCTCAACGTTCGGCCACATAGGCGCTTCCAAAAAGGCAGGGGGCGGCGGTGATTCGCCGTAGGCGTCTTCGATCCGCCGCCCCCTGTCGATTCATCGCAGGGGTGCCTGGCGTGCTGAATCCTCTCGGTTTTGGTTTTGGTTCTTTTTCCAAAAGAAATCCCCCTGGGGCTTCGGCGCGTTCCGCCGGGGTCCCGGAAGGCCGCGTAAACCACCTCAGCGTCCACAAAAAATCATCCAAGACGGCTCAAGATGGCCTCAAAGATGGCCACGTTGGCCCAAGATGGCCTCCAAGATGGTCCAAGATGGCCTCCAAGTCCGCCCAAGATGGTCCAAGACGGCCTCCAAGACGGCCTAAGAGAGTCCAAGATACCTCCAAGTTCGCTCAAGAAGCATCCAAGACGGCCCAAGAGGCCTCCAAGAGGTCCTCCAGGAGGGCCCCGAAGAGGCCAACATCATTGATTTTCCTTAGGTTTTTGAAGGATTTGGGCATTTGCTCCTTTTCGGCTTTCCGACGACTCAAGACGGCCCAAGAGGCCCCAAAGATCGCCCCCACAGCGCCCAAGAGGCCTCCAATATGGCCTCAGGACTGCCCAAGAGGCCCGCAAGACGGCCCCAAGAGGGCACAAACACAACCCAAGAGGCCTCCAAGACGCCCAAGATGGCCTCCAAGACGGCCCTGGAGCACCCCAAGAGAGCTCCAAGTCGGCCCAGAGAGGCCCCCCAACGGCTTCCGACGGCGTCAGACGGGCCAGGAGCCCACCAAGATGGCCGAAGTTGGCTCGAAGCTGGCCCAAGACGGCGCAAGAGGCCTCCAAGAGGACCTCCAGGAAGGCCAGAAAAAGGCCAAAAAACACTCAATTTCCATGGGTTTTTGACGGATTTTGACATTTGCTTCTTGTCGGCCTTCCGACGGTCCAAGAGCGCCCAAAGATCGCCCAAAGATCGCCCAAGAGGCCTCCAAGATGGCCCCAAAACGGCCCAAGAGGCCCGCAAGACGGCCCCAAGAGGCCCCCAAGACGCCCAGGAGGCTTTCAAGACGCCCAAGATGGCCTCCAAGACGGCCCTGGAGCATTCCAAGAGGGTCCCAAGTCGGCCCAGAGGGGCCCCCCAAACGGCTTCCGACGGCGTCGGACGGGCCAGGAGCCCACCAAAACGGCCGAAGATGGCCCTACGATGGCCCAAGACGGCCCAAGAGGCTCCCAAGAGGGCCTCCAGGAAGGGCCGAAAAGGCCAAAATCATTGATTGCCCATTTGTTATTGAAGGATTGTGGCATTTGCTTTGTTTCGGCCTTCCGACGGCCCGAGACTGCCCAAGTGCCCCCAAAGATCGCCCAAGAGGCCCCCAAGACGGCCTAACAGGCCCCCAAGACGGCCCAAGAGGCCTCCACGCTCAAGATGGCCTCCAAGACGGCCCAAGAGCCCTCCAAGACGTCCTCCAAGAAGGCCCGAAAGGGTCAAAATGGCCTCCAGACGGCCAAAATGACCTGCAACATGCCCACGTGTTCCCGGAAGGCTTTCCAAACCGATTCGGGGAACTATGGTCCGATAGCTTGGCAGGTCTAGCCTCAACGTTCGGCCACATAGGCGCTTCCAGAAAGGCAGGGGGCGGCGGTGATTCGCCGTAGGCGTCTTCGATCCGCCGCCCCGTGGTCTTGCCACAGGGGGGCCTGGCGTGCTGCATCCTATAGGGCTTGGTATGGGATCCTTTCTCAAAAGGAACTCCCCCGGGGGGTTCGGCTTCTTGTGCCGGCCAACCGAAAGGCCGCCGAAAAAGTGCACCCAACTGGTCTTCCCCTCCAAGATGGCCTCAAGAAGGCCTCCAGATCAGCTAAGATGACCCAAGTCCTCCTCCTCCTCCTCCACCTCCTCCTCCTCCTGGTCTTCCCTGACATCCTCCCCCAAGTGTTCCCCGAAGGGTTCCCACAACAGCTGGGGGCACACATGGTCCGATAGCTTGACAGAGCTCTGGCCACGACGTTCGCGGCCACATGGGCGACTCCAGTTGGGCTGGCGGCGGCGGAGAGTCGCCGCAGGCGTCTTCGATCCACCGCCCCCTGCTGATTCATCACAGGGGTGCCTGGCGTGCTGAACCCTGGAACCATCCTGGGAGCCTCTTGGGGGCTTCTTGGGGCCTCATGGCAGCCTCTTGGGGCCTCTTGGAAGCCTCTTGGAAGCCTCTTGGGGCCTCCTGGGCGCCCCTTGGGGCCATCTTGGAAGCGATCGATCAAAGAAGAGGGTGGAGTTAATTAACCTTGCCCCCCCAAGAGGCCAAAATGGGGCCAAAACCCTAGTAAAACCGATGATTTTGGTTCGTTTCCAGACGACATCCCCCATGGGGCTTCGGCCCCGCGCGCCGGCCAGCCGGAGGGCCGCCGACGATGCACAGGTCGTGGACTCTCGGGCCGCGGACGGCGTCCAAAAGACAGCCAAGAGACGGCCAAGTTAAGTTGGCCCAAGAGGCGGCCTCCAAGTGTGCCCAAGATGGTCCAGTGTGGCCTCCAAGACGGCCCAACAGGGCCCAAGATGTGTCCAAGTCCGCCCAAGAGGCCACCAAGACAGCCCACAAGACGGCCCAAGAGGACCTGGAGGCCTCCAAGAGGCCTCCAAGACTGCCCAAGAGGCCTCCAAGAGGTTCTCCAGGAGGGCCCGAAGAAGCCCAAATCATATTTTGTCCAATGAGTTTTGAAGGATGTTGGCATGTGTTTCTGTTCGGCCTTCCGACGGACCGAGACGGCCCAAGAGCCCCCAAAGGTCGCCCAAGAGGCCTCCAAGACACCAGAACGGCCCAAAACGTCCCCAAGGCGGCCCCAAGAGGGCCCCAAGACGGCCCAAGAGGTCTCCAAGACACCGAAGATGGCTTCCAAGCACCCCAAGAGGGCCCCAAGTCGGTTCAGAAAAGCCCCCAAGATGGCTTCTGACAGCACCAGACGGGCCACGGGCCAGGAAGGCCC